CAAACTTGACTATATCCCAGATCCGATTTGGGATATTCCAAGTTGAATTTGAAACATGATCAAGTTTGGGACATGATTATCCCAAATTAGAAATTGCAGTTTGAGAAGTCCGAAATAGGAATTTCGATTTGGGATATCCCAAGTTTAACTTGAGACATGGTGACGTTTGGGCTACAACATATTCATACGAAGCAAGATTGTTTCTTTGTGAAGCAAAGGCCATTTTTAGGTCAGGTGATCTATATCATATAGGGTCGTCAATTGAGATAGAGTTTGGTGTAACTACAAATGGCGATTTATTATTAGAACCTTTGCTATAATACATTACACGAATTATTATTATGTTAAAATTTTTTTTTGCACAATTATTCTTATTTTACATATTTACAATTACAAAAAGTATTAATAAATATTATCTTCTTAAAAATTTACATAATCAATTATATAAACTAAACTTTGATTTTTAATTTTAGACTAAACCGATTCAACGCCGGTCTTAATCCGGTCACGAGACTAACTTTACGGGAATTCATTTTGAACGAGAATAAATTTTATGGGTTAATTTAACCTTCCAACAGTCCTTGGACTTCCTAGTCTAAAGATATTCATAGAAATAGATTTTTTTTATCAAATAACTGATACCGTTCGGTCTTGGTCTTTTGTTTTACGTGTTACCCGAATTTATTGTATTTATGTAAGCATTTTACATAATGCAAATGTGAATGTAATTGATATCCATGAAGAAGCTTAGAAAATTTTTTTCTAAATGTCTAAGAAGAATTCTTTCAATATTGTAACCATGGATGAATCATATGATAATGACATAGAAAAAATTTCTTCGGATCTTATGATTATACAAATGATGACTTTAAAATTATTGAAGAATACAGTACAACAATGTATCCCATTTATTGGATTTTATAGCTTTTCTTCCAATGATTATTTGCATAATGTTCTAACGTAAAAGAAAGCATTACCGAATAATTATATTCAAATATTTCTTGGATAATGGTTATGTATCAAGAAACAAGTCTAAATATCAAATAACTAAAGAGATAAAATTGGTTGGCTTGAATACATTGATTCAAAGTTATTACAAATAATAATGTTAAATTAATGGATGAATTAAAAAATAAAAATACATTTAAGTTAATATTTCGTGGATTTCGTGATTAAAATATTTTAAGCCTTGTGATAATATAACAAAAAAAAAATTATTACTTCTAATTACTACGGTACTATTTACTTCTTTCATCAAAGGCGCAACATCCAGCATATCTGATAAATCCAGATTACACATTTGTTGAAATTTAATACAGTATTATTTAACTGGTATTTTATCGTTACACAAAAAGCAAAATAAATAAACATTCTTACTGGTAGAGTAATTAACAAGATAATACTCCAAACCATACCGTGAAGTTGCTTAAGATCGCACACATAACTTTTTATTTTTTATTTTCATCTTTTATTTTTATTTTTTAGGTAATTCTTTTACGGTTAGAACGTTTACATAGGCAAAAAAAAATCTTTTTAATTTATGTATTAAGCGGATTGAATCTCTACGACTTGCAGAGACCTTTAAAGTTTTATTATTATATTTTTTTTTGTCCTTCGAATTCGTTCTTCAGAGCGCAGCGACTCTATATGTCTTTAATTAATTTTTTTTCCGGATATTGCGGTTTCAATAGTTGATTGCTAGCGATAAACGTTTTAATATCAAAAGGTAACGAAGTCGGGCTGTGATGCAATTGATCTCGACAATCAGATAATCGATTTGCCATTCAGCGATGAGTAATCAATGTATTGCTAGAATTAATTAACAAAATACATAGTTTATCATGATTAATAAATTCTTCATCGTATGATAATGATTATGGGAGATGGAAATTGTGAATTATTCTTTGGCTATGATCTAATTCTTAGGGGAACACCGATTGACGAATTTCCATCATACTTGCATGAATAACTCGATTATTGGGCGCTATGAATCGTAATAAAAGAAGACAATATCAACATAACTATCATCGATTTATCAGCTAAAATAAATAAAATTAAATAAAATGAAAAATAAATTTATAATTGTCTTCATCGATCGAACGAGGAAATATATATTACAAAGTTCCAGAGTTTTGCAAATCCAAATGTTAGCAAGTATCTTATTAACGCAGTAACATAGATTTTTCTCACAATATTAAATCTTCTGGCGAAACTTATTTTACCTAATCAAATTACTAGTATAAAACACGAAAATCAAATACAAAACAAATCTTATATATTAACTCAATCTATTTGTGGATCCTAATAATTGCCTCCCTCGCGATGAGTGTGAACGTAAGATGTTGGTGAGTACTTAATTTGTCGTTTATACAATTTGGTCTAATTAATGCTTCAGAATTTGCACTAGCTTTGAAATCAAATTATAGCTATAATGCCACTTAGCTGAAAACAAATTTTTTAATGTTTTTTGTAACAAGAATAAAGAATCAAATCAGTCTATGTGGGAGGTTATCGAAAATTTAGAATCATTGGTGATGATAAAGACATAGATGATTACACTTTACGTTATTTATTTTTTTGATGATTAACACCAAATACGTTTTATCAAATTAACAAGCAACTAACTAATTGATTTTATTATAAAAGAATCCTGAAGGTATTAATTAAGAAATGTACATTCTAAATTTAATCTGATGTTAATTTATTACTTTTCCTAAATTTCCATGTTGTAATAAATATAAAATAAACTGAAGTGCATAAATTTTAGAATGATTTACAAAAATGAAGTAAATACACATAGAAAAAAGAAAATCTAAATATTAATTATATGTTAAAGAGAAACGTTTTCTATACAACTATATTTATCATTTTGACCCTTATTAAAAGCTACGATTTCGTTTACATTAAACGAATTCGATTGCATCTTTTTCTTATAAAGATAAGTAAAAATCTAAAATTACATCAATTTCATCAAACTCGGATATATCCTCATAAATTGAGGAAGTATAATGATAAATAATTTTAGAAGTCATTTTTTCGTTGATAGCGGCGGATTCCTTTCCTTTGCGATTTTTATGGAAAACTTTGCTTTTAAGTGTTTTAAATGCCTTGGAGAAGATTTTTTTCAACTTATTGCGTGATCTATTCTGTTTAGGCCAGAATTGATCACCTTTCAATTGTTCTATGTCAATAGAGATAGGCTCAGAAACGAAAATTTTATACCTTTTATCAAAAATCGAAAAATTAGGATCGAAATTAGTTATATGCATATTGAATAATTTTTATTGAGCTATTGACCTTTAAAGCTTATTTCTGCTAATTCGTCCTGCTTTTATAATTTTGAACATCAATATATTCGCCCTTTATGATTGTCCTATTTCGAATATTTTTAGTCTAGTTGTGAATTTTGTTTCAGCTGCAAGAAATCATTATTATTTTTTGAACACATGATAAATAAATTGATTCAAATGCTGATGAAGTCGAATACATTTGACAAAAATAATATGTATTAATTACATAAACATTTGATAATATAAGTTGTATTCTAATCGCATTATTGAAAAAAATATATTCTGCATTGTTTGATGTGCATGACGAAAGTATTACATATTTATAAGTAATGAAAAGTGATGACGTTCTCAAGTATTCTATTGTGATCGCGACGCGATTTCGAGGCTGAGCATGCTAAAAATATTTATTTTATTTTTTAATTTTATAAAAGTATTATACCCCTAAGCAATGTCAGAATTAGTGAAAAGGCTACTGTATTATAATTGATAATCCCTTTGATGATAATTTTTATCACAACATGTATTGTGACTGTATGTATGATCTAATATTATCATGGGAAAGATCATGTAGCCCCTCAGTTTTTTTAGAAAATTCGGGCACGTGAATATTTATATACGATGAATAAGGCGCAGCAGATTTATTGAACTATTTTTTTGTTACAATAAATTAGACGTAAATGTATACACAATAAAAAATAAGGAATCTCAGAATTACTTAAAAATGAATCCATAAAATTTCTTGTTAGAATTAAAATCGGACAAATTCCGCGTCAACAAAGTCAAAGGGATGATACATCCTTGGACTAATCTATGCGTAATCGGGTTCATGAGCCTGTTTTGAATACATGCGTTACTGAAGTATTTAGAGTTATTGACTTACTTAATCAATAAAATCATTCATTTATTTTTTTTTAGATCTGAATTTTTCATTATTTGTGATAGGATTCTCATTAGTAAGATAAATTATAATATTCATAATTTACTTTTCGAATCAATGTCTAAATCGATTCAAATTTAATACTAAAAATAAAATAAATGGTAATAATTTTTCCAAAAAATAGAGGCATATTTTAATTTAATGTTAAAATTTGAAGTTTTATTTAATTAAAAATTTCACAATATTCTGACATTATATCAAATTTGGGAAAAGCGACTCAGTCATGGCTCAGTCATTGAAAATTCCGAAGTCGACTCTACTTGATTTTTGCTGAGTCGACTCAGCCGTCGACTCTAACCCCAACGGCTGGTACTACTATCAATAGTATATGCCGAAGGTTTTAACAATTCATAAAATCCAAGAAACGTAAGGTTTGGTTTTCAACCGAAGGATATGTAATAAGTCTTCAAAATAATCACTTTTCTCTTCCATGAGCGTTTATAATCCTGACCCTGTAGTTCAATTAATTTTATAACAAAATTGTGTAAGCCAAACTTATTAATTGGAACATCTTTCCAAGTTTTGTGTTTTATGAGTTCCTTAGTCGTATAACTTGCCTATGAATCATCTGATTCATCCGATTTTACGCTAGATTGATTTCTTATAATATAAATCCGTTTTATCCTTTCCTTTAATTTTTTATTAGGTTAGAAAGGCCAAATGCTTTTTTATCAACAAACAATTAGGTGATCGAGGACGCACTTACATTACGCAAACCATCCGGATCTGCTTCACGTGCAAGACACAATGCATATTGTTTGGCAATATCTGCATTTGCAGTAATAGTTGGAACTTGAATTGCCGAGTCACTTTTAATATTTTCTTTAATTAAGGATATTATAAATTATTCGTACTCTCGTATGACTTCTAAAAGATCAAAAAAGATAGAGTTTTAAAATAAATTGTTCTTGAATCTATCATAGACAAACAATGATTTTGCGTGGGCCATCAATTTTAATACATTCAGCTTTGTTAAAGGTAATTCATCATCACTTGGATAATTTGACAATTTTCAACTGGTATCTATAATATTTTTACTTGTATAAAACGTTAAGTATAATGCAATTTGTTTTCAATATACATTCTATTCGAATTCGTTGTATCGGCAAATTCAACTTTATTGGTTGTATCACTTTTCGATCACATCACTGTAAGAAAGTGATTTTAGGAACTGTATCCTCAGTTTTAGGATACGCATTTCGAAAGGCGTTGTCATTAGTATTGTGGATTCTCCGTAACTATATTATATGATATATTTTTATATACACATCAGGGTATTTATATTAAATATTGTTACCTTGGCAATGGTAATCCATTGTTTAATCTTGTCATAATTGATCTCTGCCGCTTGATTGATCACTAAATACGATAAATGTTGGAATATGTTCTTCGAAATTACTTAATATTCCGAAGTTTCTAATATTAATATGATAATTCGCACTTATAATGATTATTATAGAAACATGTTCATCATGTAAAAATTTATAAAATATAATTGTTTATGATAATATGTATTTATTTAATTAATTTATTTTTTTTATTAGAGTCTGGTAAATTGCATTTTATAACCTATACATATAATTTTGACATTTTTTAACAAAGGCACGATTTTGCGCCTGTTTTTGTTTGTGCTATTGACTTTCAATAACGGTAACTATATTAACATAAAGATTTTTGATACTTATTGAAATATTGAGTTTTTAAAGATTGAGGTTTAATATCTTTTAAGGAAATGGGTAAATTTGGTAAGTTATTTATTTCAGTGTCATAACACTTGAGTTTTGTTAAGGAGTCGGGTAAGGTTGGTAGGAAAGTTATTTGTGTATCGGAGCAATCAAGTTCCGTTAAGGAATTAGGTAAAAATGGCAATCTATCTATTTCAGTACCAAAACACCAAAGAATTTCTAAGGAGTTGGGTAAAATTGGTAAGCTGGATATTTGAGTATTGAAACAATAGAGTTTAGTTAAGGAGTTTGGTAAAATTGGTAGGCTGGTTATTTGAGTATTATAACAATAGAGCTTTGATAAGGATTCGGGTAAAGTTGGTAAGCTGTTTATTTTAGTCCTATGACACCGGAGGTTTGATAAGGAGTTGGGTAGAGTTGGTAGTGTAGTTAATTGTGTAACAGAGCAATCAAGTTCAGTTAAAGAGTTTGGTAAGGTTGATAGGATAGTTATATGAGTATCAGAACAGTCAATCTCCGTCAAGGAGTTGGGTAATGTTGGTAAGCTATCTATTTCAGTGTGATAACACTTTAGTTTTGTTAAGGAGTTTGGTAAAATTGGTAAGTATCTTATTTTAGTGTAATTACAAAAAAGTACCGTTAAGGAGTTGGAGAAAATTGGTAGGATAGATATTTGTGTACCAGAGCATTTAAGTTCCGTTAAGGAGTTAGGTAAGGATGGTGGTGGGATAATTATTTGAGTACAAGAAAAGTTAAGTTCTATTAAGGAGTTGGGTAAAGGTAGTGGTAGGAAAGTTATTTTAGTGTTATCACATTCAAGTTTTGTTAAGGAATTTGGCAAAGTTGGTAAGCTATTTATTTCAGTATGATCACACTTGAGTCTAGTTAATGAGTTGGGTAAAGTAGGTAAGATAGTTATTTTTGTACCAGAACAATCAAGTTCTGTTAAGAAGTTGGGTAAAGTAGGTAAGCTGACTATTTGAGTATAATTACAAATGAGTTTTTTTAATTTTCGATATCTTTGCAATCCGCCTAAGGCATTTAATATGTCATCCTTATTAAGATCCGTAATCGTTAAACTATCAATAGTATCATCATAAATAATTAAAGGTGTTTCATTACTCGATCCTAAATCTTCTGCAGTCATCTGATTAAAATTTTGAATCATTTGAGTTAATTCCCCATGAAATTGTTGTTTAGATGATTGAAGATTTGATTCATCATTATTCATTTGATCACAATCAATTATATTTGCTTTTGTAATAATTGCATTTAATTCATCAATCACTTTGTTCATGGACGGGCGATTGTCTGGCTCATTATCCCAACAATCTAAAATGATATGGAAAATTTAATGCCGTAAACTTAAAATTTAAATGATGATCAAGTTTTAAAAAATATATTTACCAATATAAATTTTTACATAATCTTCAGGTGTACCAGAAACTATACTTTCTCGAAGTCCTTGTGAAATCTCTATAGCCAAACCAATGTCATATACTTCATCTTTATCATGAAAAGGTGGAAGACCACTGGTTAGCTCCCACAAGAGCACGCCAACACTATAAACGTCACTTTTCTCATTTAGTCTATATTGCTGTGATGTATTGTCATATTTTCTAATAAAACTTTTAGGATCAACATAAGGAATTACACTAAATACTTTTAACTGATTAGTTGCTGCTTCAATCCTTTTTGATAATCCAAAGTCTGCTAGTTTAATAACGCCTTGATGGATTAATATATTTCCTGAATGCTATTCAAATTCAAATAAAAAAATTGATTATTAATTACCAAAAAAAAAAGTTCATAATAAACAAAAATTAATCATAAGGTTACCAAATCACGATGAACAATTCCTTCGTCATGTAAACACGATACAGCACAAGCCAACTGGGATGCCAAGTTGGATTTATCTCCCCAAGAAAGCTTATTAAAATTATGTTTTAAATAATTTCTAAGCGCACCACCATCAGCAAATTCCATTACTAACCAATAACTTTTTAATTCATTATGATTTTCTAATAATATATTGTTATAGTTTTTTTTTTTTAATAAATATGTGTTAAAATTAAAATATAAAAGTCAATATAAAATTAAAATTGATTAAAATTTATACCGTAGTTTGATGATGTAATCCCCAAAAATCGGATGATATTGCTATGAAAATTAATTTCCCGTTGAAATTCAAACTAGATATTTATGAATAAAAATTTTAGCTTGATGATTTTGTACTAAATAAACCAAAAATAAATATTGTATTTACTGTACATTACCTCACGAACAAGTTCTTTAATAATGGCATCGTTAAGGTTATGAAATGATTTTAATGCTAGATGTTGCTTCGAACTTTTCCAATTCGCACGATAAAGATTTCTGAAATTGCCTGTACCTATCTTTTGAAAATTGCTAAAATGTTTGATTTCATAGAATTTGATGTTCTTTCTTAATATATATTCTTCAACCCAATTAATGCTTTCATTTGAATTATTGACAGTTTGCATTTTTGCGTTATTAACTAGCGAAAAAAAAAGATCAAATTTGGAGGAAAAGCCAAGAAATGCAATACGTAGATCATCTAAAATTTAATATTGTATTTTGAACTAAATTCAGCTTATTAAGTCATCTTGATGTTGTACAAAGTCAGAATATAATGCTGTGTAACAAACTAGGCATATTGTTCAGGTCGTAAATTTCTCGTAATGTTTAGTGTCAATCAGACCTTATTTCCAACTCCATAAATATCAATTTACTCATTTTCATTAAAAAATATTTTTTGAAAAATAAGTCCGATAATAAATTTTTACAGAAATTATCACAAAATTTACTTGAATGTTTAGAGGATAATGAATATTATGATGTTACGATTGAAGTTGGAAAGGATCCGTATGTAAAAGTATTTCGTGCTCATATGATAATTTTATATTACCGTTCTCCTTATTTGCGAAGAGTTTTGTCCACTAATAAAAAGAGTAATGATGGAACTTTGGCTCATATTAAGCTACCGAATATTCTACCTGAAAAGTTTCATATAATCTTGAGGTAATTTGTAAAAATAAAAATGTTTTCTTTTTTTTTTTTTTTTTTACCAAAAAAAAATTTATTTCAATGTATATTTATGGCGCAGAACTTTCTTTGGATGAATATGCGATTTCAGAAATTTTAAGTATCATGGTTGTTGCCAGTGAATTAAGTCTTCAAGAATTAATCACCCATTTGCAATCATTTTTGATTGAAAACAAGGCAACATGGATGGAAAAAAATTTTAATTTGATATTTCAAACCGGTTTTAAACATGATTCTTTCTTGGAACTTCAAAACTTTTGTACCAATTTAATGTCCAAGGAACCTGAAAAAATATTCAAGTCGGTTGATTTTGGTTCAATTTCGGAAAAATCTTTGGTCTCACTTATTCAAAATGAAAACCTCACTATGAGTGATGTTCAAGTTTGGGAACATGTTCTTAAATGGGGAATCGCTCAAAATCCGGAAATTCCTTCAGATCCCTCTGAATATACAAAAGATGACTTTAAAGTTTTGAAGAATACAATACAACAATGTATACCATTTATTGGATTCTACAACTTTTCTTCCAAGGAATTTTTGTATAAAGTTCTACCATACAAGAAAGCATTACCAAAAGAATTATATTCGGATCTAAATAAGTGTTTCTTGGATAATGACTATGTACCAGAAAACAAGTCAAAATCTCAAATAACTAACAAAAAAAAATGGATTGGCTTGACAAATATTGATTCAAAAATTATTACAAATAAACATGTTGAATTAATCTCAAAATGGATTAATAAAATAGATGTTAAAAACGAATTAAAAAATCAAAGTACATTTAAGTTAATATTTCGTGGATCTCGTGATGGATTTGCATATAATAAATTTTTTGAACTTTGTGATAATATATCCCATACCGTAACGATCTTTAAAGTTAAAGATAGTAACGAAATTCTTGGAGGGTACAATCCTACGGAATGGAAGGCTAATAATCAGAAATTCTTATTTTGTTATGAAGATGCTAAAGAAAGTTTTATATTCTCATTTAACGAAAAAAATAACGTTGAAAATTACATACTAAGTCGGATAAAATACAATGAGTTTGCTATAAAATATGAACTTTTCAATGGTCCGTCGTTTGGTAAAACAGATCTTGATGTATCGGATTTGTTTGGTCATTATAGATGTGAAAAGAGTTCTTATGAAAACCAAATCAGAGAATCTACGAATTATTTTTTTATTGAAGAGTATGAAGTATTTCAAGTTATATAAATATAAATGCATTTTGTCACGCCTTACAATTTAAAGTTTTATTTAAGTAAAATCTTATTTTAAAGATTGAAATGGAAATAAATGTTATTCACCCATATGATGTAGACGATCTTGTTTTTTGATATTTTTATTGATATCAAAAATAAGCTATAAATCAAGTTTTTTATATCAGAATAAGCTACATTAATATATTTTAAGCTAGTAAATAAAATTATACATATTATTTTTATACATTTGTAAATTATTAGTATTATTAAATACTGGAAACGCTCCCAGATGTTTAAGTCAACATTATAAAATCACACGATAATATCGTTATTGTGCTTTGCGTTGATAAATAAATCAAAATTATTGTCTAATTGTAATGTCGATCAGTAAGATTTAGCCACTTACGTGGCTAAATCTAAGCGAACATCATCACAATTTTGATTATTTATCAACGCAAAGCACAATAACTTATAATTATTATTTATTTGTTGCTTTAGAATATTAATAGATTTTCTAAATCCCTTTTTTAGAGCCAGATACCGATACGGTATATCCATTCATCAAATTTTGATATTTTTTCAATTATATGTCATTTTTTTAAATGCTTCGTTTCATTTAAATAAACCCGATTACACATGGGTATCCAAGGATGTCCAGAATAATTAACGCATTAGTTGTAAGTATGATATGAATCAACCCTTTTTAATAATAATATATAATGAAGTCTATACTGGACTTCAAATATTTGACATCTATGTTAGTGTATAAACAGTCATTATAGGTAATTATTTTTAATAGTAAAAATTCTTTTATTATATAGTTTTTATTCATTTAGCAAGAATTTTTTGATATTGTATTATATATTCGCTGATTGAAATAAGTCCAAATCGCAGAAAGTTTACTTTAACTCTGATTGACAAAATTCGTCTAAACTAGTCTAAGAAAATCAGAAAAAATTGAAATTTAAATGCTAAAAAATTTTGCAATATATATTTGAATTATTTAAAAAAATAAGAAAAAATAAAGAAAATAATTAAAAATCCATCACAAAAGTCATCTCTGTTTAACTATATAAGATATATTCCTAAAAATTTAAAGAAAATGAAGAAAACTACCAAATCCATCTCTTATTTACCTTAGTGTATTACTAATAATTAAAGAAAAAATAAAGAAAACGGTTAAAAAACTACTAAAAACCACCCCATAATTGATAATGCGAAATATAACTTAAGCCAATTTTTTTGTTTCAATTTAGCAAAAAAAAAGGCGCAGTTTTAATCACAAATGCTTTAAAAGAGAATGTAAAATTAAAAAGTAGTATATCTTTTAATTCCGGAGTAAATGATAAGAAATTTAAATGTTCGATTTATTCGGGTGTATATTGAAAATGGTCGAATTGTTTGTTCGGTATAGCACAGATTTAAAAAGATATTTCAACTTTATTAAGTTTTATATAATAATACAGTCGTTATGATCTTATTTGCTGTATATACAGTATATACAAACAAAATGTAAAGATTTTAAATGAAGCATAGAATAAATCAGGTTCATGAAAATATTTTGTTATAATTTTTGAGTGAAGTTTTAAATAGAGGAGGAGCTTTCTATCTTTTTTTTTTTACAGGCGATCAATAAAATCAAATCATTCATTAAGAGTGAGTATTAACATTTTTTTCCCATTCTGCACGATTGCTACTGATGGATGAACTCTCCAAATCTAGATTGTCAGTTTGTTGTTCCTAATAATCTGAAATATTTACGTAAAAGGATTTCTAAATTATTAGCGAATTGAAATACAAGATAATGTTCTACTATACGTGATACATTTTCTCGATATTTTGAGTAGGAACTTTTCCAATATGCTAATGCTCCCTAAAATATATATGATTCGATAAAATTATCATACATGATAATACGCGATAATAAGCTAAATTACGTACCGTGACAGCGGATATTATACAAATTGATCTATCCAAAGATGTATTTTTTATAGTAGCATCAATTTCTTCTTCATCATTATACATCATGTCAAATAATTCAGTTCCTAACTCAAGAACTGCTTTTAATTCTTTATTCATTTGCCTTGAGCTAGAAGACAAATTTTGAAGCTTGAATAAATATTTTGATTGTTTCTTTAGAAGGCTGGTTTCATCAGTTAAATAAAGAGCCCTATTAGCTGAAATATGCTCCAAATCTTCATGTTCTTTAAGACGATTTAATGTTTCAACCTCGCACTTTCTTAATAATTCACATAAAACGTATCTATAATTTATTATTTTTTTTAAAAAAAAGAAAATAAATAATTCATTCACAAATAACGAGCAAACGCGTAAAAGAAATTTCTTACTTGATTTCTCCAATGAGGTTTGGAAATTCTTGAAAATAGTTATCTATTAATTCATCAATCATTCGTGCAAAAAAATCGGTATTTTTATTCAATAATCTCTTAGAAAATGAAATCCACTCCGTTTGATGGTTTTCAACAATATGAATTACGGATTTGTATGGAAAATGACCAGCCAATTGTCCAAATTGACTTTCTTGCACAGCTTCATTAAGTAGATCTATTGTCCATACATTTCTATCGTTATGGTAATGATTAGATCCCCAACCATCAAGTGCAATTGGTTCACGTAAATCTGTTGTAAATGGTAATGAATCAGGATTTATGGGATCAAAAAATTCAGTATTCGTCACCCCTTCGTCACTCGTGAGATTGTATATTGGACGAGTGGTTAATAATTGTTGATTAAATTGAGAATAGTTCCATTGTAGTCCACGATATAACTTATGGTTTACGTGATCGTGATTAATGAACTCTTTGTCAAATTTTCTAATTAATTCCAAGAAACGAGTTGGATTATCAACAGGAATATGCCGAAGGTTCTTTAAAATGTCATCAAAATCCAAAAAACGTATGGTTTGGATTTCAACAGACTTATGCGGAAGGTTATTTAAATAGACTTGACCCTGTAGTTCAATTAATTTCATAACAAAATTTTGTAAGCCAAACTTATTACTTGGAATATCTTTCCAAGTTCTGTGTTTTTTAAGTTCCTTAATTGTATCGCTTTCCAATGAATCATCCGATTTTTCCGATTTTACGCTAGATTGATTTCGTATAACGTAAAAACCATTTGCAATTTGATGCTCTCCTTTAAATTTTACTAGATTAGCAAGTTCCAAATGCTTGTCATCATCATCATCATCATCAACAATTGGGTGATCGAGGACACAATCAATTTTTGTCAGTGCACCTACAGTACGAACACCATCCGGATCTGCTTGACGTGCAAGATACAATGCACATTGTATAGAAATATCTGCGTTTGCATTAATAGTTGGAACTAGAATTGCCGAGTCACTATTAATATATTCCTTAATTAAGGATATTGTAAAACTTTCGTACTCTCGTATGAGTCCTGAGTAAGATGATCAAAAAGGTGCGAAAAATTAGCGAGTTGAATAAACATTTTTTTTGAATATTTCATATTTACCTGGTAAAACAACCATAGACAAACTATAATTTTGCTTGGGTCCACCAATTGTAATACATACAGTATTTTTAGTTATCGGTAATTCATCATCACTTGGATCATTTGGCAATCTTGAATTGATATCTCTAATACTTGGGTTTTGTAGATAACGTTGAGCTTCACGTAATTTGTTTTCGATATCCATTTGATTTGAATTCGTTATATCGGCAAATTCAACTTCTCTTAGTTGTATCGCTTTTCGATCACAGTCTTCTATGTAATGTAAAGTGATTTTACGTATTGGTTCCTCGGTTTGTAGGAGACGTATTTCGAAAGGCGTCGTCATGCGTTTTGTGGATTCTCTGCAACGGAATGATATTGTTTTTATATACACATATACATATCAAGAAATTTTATACTAAAACCGTTACCTTGGCATTGGTAAGCCAGTTAATCTTGTCATAATGGATCTTTTTCCGCTTGATTGATCACCGAATACGACAATTGTGGGAATATGTTTTTCGACCATATGATCTGTCGCACTTGGAGTTTCTGATGATTCAAACATATTCATCATATAAATAATTTAGGAAAAAATTGTTTATGATAATATGTGTATTTATTTAATCTGTTTAATTTTTTTTTTCAAATGATTGCATTTTATAACCGATATCACATCATACTGTTTATGTAATGATTTCCAATAATGAATGGTGGGAACTATAATTCCCAAATATAATAATTGATTGACATAAGGAACTGACATGGTATCTTTGATTTCTTGTATAGAAAAAAAAATCAGGTTTTGCTATGAAAGAAGTAATCTTGATAGAAATCCGAATCCTGTTTTTATACAATAAAAATCTTACACTACACTACCTTTATCGGACGAAAAAAATTTATGCATAATCAGTATTGCCAACGAAGCTAAGTAACTTTTTATAATTTTTGAAGATTGTCAATTGTTGTAAAATCGATATTATCTGTCGCACTTGGAGTTTCTGATGATTCAAACATATTCATCATATAAATAATTTAGGAAAAATTGTTTATGATAATATGTGTATTATTTACTCTGTTTAATTTTTTTTTTCAAATGATTGCCGATTTCACATCCATCATACTGTTTATGTTAATTTCCAATAATGAACGGTGAGAACTATACTTCCCAAATATAATAATTGATTGACATAAGGAATTGACATGTTATGTTTTTATTCTTGTATAGAAAAAAAACCAGGTATTGCTATGAAAGAAGTAATCTTGATAGAAATCCGAATCCTGTTTTTATACATTAAAAATCTCACACTACCTTTATCGAACGAAAAAAATTTATGCATAATTAGTATGATGTGGTCAATTTTTTATTTATTCTCAAAGCAATGCTATCATATTCATTGTAACATGTGAAAAGTTTCTTTATTGCCAACGAAGCTAAGTAACTTTTATAATTTTTCAATTGTTGTAAATTCTAAAATGATCGACATTCTTCCAAACTTTAATTAAAAATCAACTTATAAATGGCTTCGCTTAATTCCTAAATGTGATAAGTTTACAGCGAATCATGAGACCAAATGAAACTCGTCAATAGAAGAAACGTACCATCTTAAAAATTACTAAATAAGATGGTGCGTTTCTATTGACGAAGCTCCAAATGTGAGTAGGGCGGGTGTACAACTTTTTTTATTTTATAAAAGTTGAGAGCATAATACAAGAAATTTTTATTGTTACGACACATAGGGGATACCACTTTGTTCACAGCAATAGCGACAAAGGGTACCTCACATTCACATGAAAATCATGATCCTATTAATTTCCACATACCTTTTTTCTATAAAAAAAAAAAAAAAAAAATAGGATTTTTTTTTTTAGGTAATTTTTTAATGTCAAATTTCTGAACTTAATTAAACCAATATTACGAGTTGCCAAATTTTATTTTATTTTATTTAATTTTTTGTAATCGAATCGATTTTTAATTTAGGTTTTACATTTAAAATAAACTTAGTTCAAAAAGTTAAGTTCAAAAAATAAAGTTCAAAAGATCAGCAAACCAAATGACCCAAATTTTTCAAATGGCAAAAGTCTAAATGACACGACCAATCCTATATAAAATTTATTATTTATATTTTTTTTTTTATATTTATTGATTTATTTATTTGAATTAATTTAATATAAATTTCGATACAAGTCACATGGTTATTATGATAATAAAAAATGTCTCAATTCGTTCATTAATGGTGTGGAGATTTATCATTCTTTTTTTAAAAAATATCTTCTAATAATCTTTATCTTTTTTACTTTCATGTTCAATCATTCGGAAATATAAGAATTTTGTTAAATTCATTTTTTTTTACAATTTGGGTTCTTTCCGCCCATATAATTTATTTTATGAGTTTTCTCTTTTGAGTTGGATCTCATCAGTAGGAATAGGTAAGGTGCTTTATTTTCCTTTTCTTATTTTATAGATTCGATCATTCCGCTATTATAATTTTCAAAATACAAAGAAATTTTATTATAAACAGTGCTATTGACAGCGATGGTGATGAATAATTAATATATTCCTTGAGCCTCCCTATTTTTATTATAACCGCGCTTATTGCACCAATAAATAAATAATAGATTCGTTTAATTCGATTTTGGTAGAATCGATTCCAATCCATAAGGTTATGACATAATTATTTTTACTTATTTATTGAGAAATTCAAATACAATATATTATCAAGTTTATTTTACCATAAATTAGATTTATTCGGCTAGCACGCAAGAAAAAAAATTTTATATACCGTAATAATGCATTTTTTTATAGCTTTTTTTTTAATACTAATCATTTAATTCATACAATGTATACCCAGCATTCCTAATAAGGTTAAGGTTTTTGACGTCATCATTAATATCTTATCTAAAAAAAATGAATGTTGGGAAATTAATTTAATGTACATAGACGCAAATAAAAATAATAATAAAGTAGTATTTGGTACTGCATCTTGCAATTCTTGCAATTGTATTGTAAAAATGTTTTTTTTTATTCTTGTAATAATATTCGAAATTCTATTTAAAAAAGCTTTTACAGTTTGAATACTTTATACTTGCAATAGTAAACTACCCGAAAGGTTGCTCAATTAAATGTCGACAGTAAACTAATGTTTACATAATAAATTTTAGGTACTGATTGGTGATTTTCATGATGATTAAAAATTAGACAGCTAAGTACATCTTGTTTTTAAGTATTTATCTAACGACGGAAAAGTATAAATTTATAGCACGACAAAATTCGACCGCGTTTAATAGGAAGCAAATAAATTTTTAAACTTCATTCTATTTCAATCAAAATCACAATATGTCACATGATTCAAATTATAACACTTTATTACAAACTTACTTTAGTTGTATAAAAAAGCAGCAACAAACAAATCGTCATTAATAAAAGTTAAATATCTCCATTTCTTCTATGTTAAAATTACTTGCATCCAAAATTTTGCTTTCGTATTGGGCCTTTGTGCATGTACCAGTATTACCATTAATAACCAAATCACTATTGCCAAAATTTAATAACGGATTATAATGCGATTCATACATCGCATTATTACTGTTTTGAACTCGACTAATAATAAAATTTTTCGAGTCTTTTCCATTACCAAAAGAAAAAATAAAACTTTCGGTAGTACTGACCCATAAATCATTATAATGGTTATGATAAAAAATATTATCACTGAAACTCCAACCCAAAGGATTATAACCACCAAATATAGTGTCACCCTCTTTAATTCTAATAATCAAAATACAAGCTCCGTGTCCATTACATTTACTACGTATAGTATTGATATCATAACCATCTCTACTTTGACGATAAATAAGTTTGAAATTATATTTATGATCCTTTGGAATTTTTGCAAAAGGATCGTTTCTTTGAATCCAGTTAACAAGAATGGCTGCATGTCTTGGTTTTATGATGTTTGAATCAACTACAATTTTTCCATGACGAGGAACGATTTCTTGGCTAGGTTTAATATGAGACATATAAAATGCCACAATATCTTCGAGGAGCGCTTCAGGTAAAACTTTTCTAAAAGGCCAAATATATCTATGAAATTCATTTGTGAAAATTTCGTAGAATCGAATATGTTCAAAGAATTGATACAAGGTATCTTTTAAAGCCATAAAATCCTTTTCACTCCAATTACTTAAATTAGTCACATCCTTTTCTCTCAACTCCGAAGTTTGAGCTATCCCCCATTTAATAAGATTATTCCATAATTCAACTTCTTCAATTTTTAAATCTTCCCTTTTAATTAATTCAAGGAGAATATTTTTTTCCAATTTTGGAAAATCGGGTAAATTAAAAAAATTTTCAGGAAAATCACAAAATGTCTCTAAATAATAATTTTGGAGTTGTTTACAGCTTTCTAATTTGTAAATCGAGTGAAGGACCTGAACAAAATTTTGTTGTAACCATTCATCTTGATTTTCAATCAAATATTCTTGTATAGAATTAACCAATTCATCAAGAAGTAATTCATCAGATGCTATAATAAGTTCAAGGATATCAGATCCAGCTAGTTCGTTCAAATCAAGTATTCCAGCATACATATATCTAAAAAAAAATACATATAAAATATTTAGGTCAATTTCATGCGTTGAACGTAACGTAAATTATTGGTATCACTTTAATTATATTTTTTTTTTAAGTTGAAAAAATTTCAAACTTTTACCTGACAATCATATCAAAAATGATAGGAGAAATATTTGGTTTATTAAATATAATCATATTATCTTTCTTTAAAATCCAATTTTGCGAGAGAGCGATTTTAAAATAAGGTGATCGAGATTTCAAGATAATAGAATGTAAACGAAATTCTTTAATATTTGAACTTTCTCCAACTCTAATAATGACATCATAATCATCTGTACTATCAAGTAATTGGGAATAATTTTGAGACAATCTAGGAAAGAAATTGAAAGTCATTTTAAAGAAATTTCCCAGTAAGATTAAATTTTTAAAAAAGGATCATGGAAATTCATTTACTGTATTTAAATAGTTTTGTTACGTACATTACATTATCATGATGTGATGTAATATTATTTAATTTATTGTCCGTCCATATTCATATGAATATTAATGTTATTGTTTTCCGTGTTTGGTTAATTCGGATAATTACAATATTTGATCATGTTACACAGAAATCGAGATACTTTACAATCAACATAATTCAAATATTCTCAATTATATAATATTGTCATCTGACTCCTAACTTATCGGTCAGTGACTGCATTAAGGGTTTTCCCGTTTTCATAGTTATTTTCTATCTCACTTATGAATATTTTATCGATAACTGCATGAAGCTTAATTTATAAGCTCAATTTAGCGCAAGTTGGCTAATTTTTTTCAGTTGGAATCATCTAAATTTATGTATTAATATAATTATAAGAAATATAAAAATGTCAAGTAAATTCGATAGAAATAAGGAAAAACTTACTATAGAGAATTTTCAATAGCTTATTTGTGCATTTTATACTTAATTGGATCGGAATCTTTAAAACATAATATAAAGATGTTGGTAGTATTAGCGGTAATACTTTATGCTTGAAATTTCAAGAACTAAATATGAATGAGATGCTTTGGAGAAATTTAGCTAATGATTCAATAACACATACACATAAAGAGGTGTTAAATTTTCTAACCTTTCAGCCACATTGAATGATATAAGGTATGTCCAAGGCCTCATTTGCGCAGCAAAGTCTAAACCTTGGAAGTTTTTGTATCATTCAACGGTTGAAGAAAATGGCAAAACATACAATTCTTGTACAGTTCCATAATAATATGTGGATTATTCCCGAATCCCACAAAGTTAGACTATAATATATCTAAAGACATGAATGAACCTATATGTTTTCGCAGCATTGTCACGAAGTAGGTTGAAATATTAACAGTTAAAAGTGGCGACTCAGAGCTAGTGCACTTCACTTTTGAAAGTCGACCACTTCTACCAGACATGACTTAAAATAAATAAGCAACCAAAAGTCAGTCATTAGTTTTTCGATACCTGTTGTAGAATTTTAAAAGTAAACAAATTCATTTTACCAAAGATTATCTTTCATATAATTATAGTATATAAATTATTGAAAGACAGAAAGGAATAGTGCAGAATAAAATCACACAGTTGCTCCTTCATTTTATCACAAATTGGAAGTTGAATATTTATTTAATAAACTTATCGTTATGAGTATCAAGAGATAACTGAAAAAATTAATTCAACCTAATAGCCCATTGAGATTTAAACATCAGAATTAAAATGAAATTAAAGGCTATGTTGGAAGATCGAAGAAGAAAATATCTACCTTGAAAAGGTATCACAAGTTTTCATTATGTAAAGTCTTCCACAAAGCCCCAGCACTTAATGATGAAGAACTGAGTGTAATTGTTGAACAACACAAGGTTTAAAAATACATATTTGAAAAAATAAATTTTAATAAACTACTACTCGAGAATTGTTTTCATAGAAAATGCGACCCTTTTGTTAAAATATAAAAATCAAACGGCAGCATTAACCCTTTAGATTACACATTTATGATACACATTTCTTCGGTCTATAGATATAGAAATCAAGTCTGTGAAATTGAAAAGCCCATCGCTTAAATTTAATATATCCGAGTGGTGTAAGTTCACTTAAAATATTCTATCACTTACTTTGAACATAAGTTTCCAAAACCTAAAGCACGGTATCAATGCGTAGAAGATAAGCAAAAAAAAAATTACGACCTTTGGAATTAGAATATATATGAAACCTTGTTATAATAAACAATATCCAGTTTAAAATTATTACGAATATAATAAACAGGTAGAGAAGTATTTTGTGAAAAAAAAATAAAACCATTCTTTCAGTTAAGATAGACTAAATGAATAACGCAGATTATTATTTTTTTATGATCAACGATGTATTTATTATATTTAGGACAAAATTTACTTATTATTTGAACTATTTAAACTATTTCCAAAATCTAAAATAATAAAATTTGTTCGTTTCTGTAAAGATTTAGTCTTAATGAAATGATTTAACGATTTTAATATCAGAATAAGAGAAATATGGAAGGGTAGGTTTTCCATTTTTCCTGCAATATTATATTGAAGAAATAAAAATTAAATTTAACTTTTTATTTTTTTCATCAAAGTCATTGTATTGACCTAATGAGGGGATATATACTTAATGGATAGAAATTGTGAAAATAGCACCATTCGAAGAAAAACAAATTGTAATTCATATCTATTGTTTTAACGTACACCATATAGAACAATTTCATGGTAAATTTACCGCATAAGGTTTAACATTTTGTAGATCATTACCCAAAATCTAAATTCCGATATTTAGCGTGATCGGCTAGTTTTTTTTTTTTTTTATTTTTTATTTAAAAAAATAAATTCTATACTTGGCTAACATGAATTCAAAATTTTTAAAAGAAAATGAAATTTATTTTAATGAAAACGATGAACTATGTTTAAATTGTGGAAGACTTTATTCACATGTAGAGGTAGATGAATACGTAAATGTCCGTTGGTGCAAAAAATGCTCAGTGAAATATGCACAAGACAATATATGTTCCTGGAGTGGAAATAAAAGAATTGATGATTTCATAAAAAGTCAACAACAAAAAGCAAGAAGTCCATTTGAATTCCTTGAATGGATACCTTACGAAAAATTTGAACAGGTCACCCAAATTGGAAAAGGTGGATTCGCTACTATTTATTCTGCGAGTTGGATGCAAGGAATTTTAAGACAGTACAATGAGGAAGATAATAGCTTTAGTCGTTACGATGAGGCAGTAGCTCTAAAATTTTTGCATGATTCAGAAGACATCAATGATGATTTTTTAAATGAGGTAGATGTAATGTCTCTTATAATTTATGCAATGCACTACTTTGTTTAACCTCAATAATTTATTATTTCAATAGGTTGGAAATTATCCATTCGAATTTAATGACAAGGGAATAGTTCGATGTTATGGTATCTCACAATATCCTCAAACTAAAGAATATGTTATGGTTCTTGAATTGATGATGGTAAATCTTTGTGATTGGTTAAATTCCGATTATAACAAGCATAATTGGGTAGATAATTTATTTCTTCTTAATCAACTAATTAAAGGGCTCAATAATATTCACATGAAAGGATTAATTCATAGAGATTTCCATCCCGGTAACCTTTTGATGAGAGAAATTTCCTCGAAATTTGCTTATATTTCAGATTTAGGATTAAGCGGTCCAGTTGATAATGAGAGGAAATCAAATGGTGAAATTTTCGGAGTGTTGCCTTATTTACCACCTGAAGTATTATTAGGAATGCCATACACTCAAGCTGCCGATATATATGGTTTAGGAATGATTATGTATTTGATTGCTACTGGAAATCAACCGTTTAACGATGTGGCACATGATTATCTTCTATCAATAGATATATGTAAAGGCATACGTCCTAAAATTAAAAGAGAAGAAATACCTCTATTATATTATGAAATAATGGAAAGCTGTTGGGATCAAGATCCTTCCAAAAGAAAATCCTCTAAAGAATTATATCAATTATCATCAAATTGGTTTTTACATAAAAAGTTGGAAATAAAGGATGAAATTAAAAGTCAATTAAAAGTTTATGATGGATATTTATCAAAGAATTATGCTGATAAACAAAAACAACAACTATGCCATTCACAAGCTATATATACTAGCAGATTACTTTGTTCCCTTACTCAACCTCTTAGGTAAAACGTTATCTCATTAACTCACGTTATACAATTATCTTTTTGATTTATAAACTAACTACATTGCATTCTATTGTTTGCTTGATATAGCAACATGTCTTTCGATGATCTAGATGATCTAAAGATTTAAGTTTGCATATTTTATTAGAAAACGAGCATATATTGTTTTTTGTGATATTAATAGTGATGAAAGAGTTTTTAAAAATTTATTAGGGAAATGGAAATTGTATATTATTGTGGGAATTTACTTTAAACTATCTTAGGAACTTTATAACAATAAATATTGACTTTGTAGTATAATATCATGAATGACGTTGCTTCTCCTCAAGCCAATTATTAAAGGGAACTTAATAATGAAATTTCATTATTTGCGTTGCACCTTGATTAATGTTTCTTCTTGCATTTATTTTATTTTATTTTTTTTGTAAGATATTTTGAATAATTGTTGAAAGATACAAATATTTTACGGATGATGTTGATTTTTAAGTCTATATCTTTCTTTACATGAATAAATTTTTAATAATTTTATAAAGTTAGTTAATATCGAGATTAACTGTAGTTATAGTACTTTTATCTAATATAATTTTTTTATTTTAGTAGCAATTAACAATTATATTTTAATTTCATCTAAATCGATAGTACCAGAGTTGTTATCACTAGTTTTTTTTTAAGTCTTATATAGAACAAGGAATTTAATGTAATTTGGTGGAATTGTATGATAAAATAATCGATTTATAAAATTTTTCGTGTAACAACTTAATTTTAATCAATATTAAAATACAATCTGATCTTCCTTTTCACGCGATTAAACTCTTTCTCCATCGTTTTCGCTTCAATATAAATTTTTTTTTATCGAAATAATAGTTATGGATTTACCTATTGAGGTTCTTAATAGAATATTTAAGCAAGTAATGTTGAAAAAAGACCTTTTCTCTTGCTCTCTTGTAAATCGAACTTGGAGTTTGGTTGCCTTGCCGATACTTTGGAACAAACCTGTGTACTCGGAAGCTTTAATACAAACTTTAATTTCCTGTTTTTCACAACAAGATAAGGATAATTTAGTGCAAACGGGCATCCGTTTGGATAGTTGGATCAATATTGGGTCAGGCATTGACTATCCATCTTACATATTCGATTTATATTATTCATCTTTGCTGATATATGTCAACCGCTTTTTATCCAAACAAAATAATCAACAAAAAAAGAGATTAACTTATTATTTGATGCAATACCTCTGCAAGTTATTAATGAATCGATGCATCAATCTTAAAAATCTTGAATTTAGAAATTTGAATTTAACAGAATATTTCATTATACCTTTTTATCACTTTCCGGGAGCAGATGGTAATCTTATCAATATAACATCAATGACTTTGGATTTCTCACTTTCTTTTTGCGATCAATTTTTTTATGCACTTTCCGGAATTTGTAAGCAAATCAAGAGTTTATCCCTCTGGGATTTAAACGAAAACAATGCGTTGATGTACTTTATCGAATCTCAGGCATTTTTAAAGAATTTATCTATTTGGTGCAGTGATGTTCAATTTCCAACAAACGGTTCATCTGAAAATTTGGAAAAAAGGGCAAATTTTCTTAAAAGTCTTGTGTTATATGAAAGTTCGGTTTCTGCAAGCTTCTTGGCTCAATGTATTAATTTGAATGTTTTAAAGGTTACTGGAGATAAGTTTTTTCGAATGATTGAAAATGTAATGGATTTTAACCGTCTCAAACTAAATAACCTTGAGAAAATTTTATTCGATGATGTATCCAATGAATATATGGATAAAATCACAAAACTCCTAGATCGTACTAATGTTCTCAAAGAGATAACTTTAATGATTGATTCTGATCATTCTATTGAGCTGACTAAAGTAATTGTGCATAATTACACAAATTTAGTTGATTATAAAGGGCTATATGATGATTCTCAAATTATTTTGCTACACATTTTTGTTCAAAATTGTCCATTTCTTGAAAAATTAGTGATTTGTGATAATAAGACCAACAATTCTAAATTTAACTTTAATGATGAACTAATGCGTTTAGGTAATGTCATTCCTAGAAATCTTAAAAAATTACGATTGAAAAAATCATGGATTTACAATGCTTTTACTTTGAATAGTTTTATGAAAAAATGCTTTGAAAAATTGAAGGGATCTTTTGAATTTTACATCAATATCAATGATCATGATTATTCTATTCAAAACTATGATAAACAAATTATGTTTAAAGGTTATGATGATGGACTTATTCATGTTGAATGTTATGTTAATAGATAGATTAATATATAGTATAATAATGTAAATTTTATCATCATTTATTAAAAAGAATTTGTTTTGACATCTAGTCCCTTTTTTAAGCATTCATTCATATATGATTATAATTTTAAACTACATTAATAAAAGCTATGTTTCATATTTCAGCTAAATGCAATAAATATATCTCTATTAAGTATATTATTTACAATTAAAATTTATATATCGATATTATTTGTTAAATTAAAGTAAAATCTACTTATATTAAAGTTAGAAATATTCATTTTACTATTAGTAGCCCATTATAAAGTAACAGTATCTAAAATAGTAAAATGGATCATAAAATTATATAATTCTATCATTATTTAATTTAGTCCTTACAAATAAATTAGATTGCAGTCAACTCAAGTAAAAAGTAAAAATCTAAATTTAGAGATTTTGTTAATTTAATATTATACATAAAGTTTCTATAATAAGAATATTTCAATTCCTACAACATTATCAATAAATAAATTCTTATAATAAATTGTTTTAATAAACAGATCTTAATTTATATAATCCTAATTAATAGAATATGAAAATAATGAATGACAAATATGATTACATATCTTAAAGTTAAGTTTCAAATAACATTAATATAGCAAAAATAAAATATAGGAATATGATGTATAATGATAATTATTTCTATAAATGTATATTTAAGTTTTTTGTTAATAATTCTAGAAAAATGAATATTACAGATCCATTAATAATTGACAAGAGATATGGTTAAGTAAAATTTTATTAGAGATTATTATAAATTTACTCACTTTTTCACTTTAATTGAAAGAAATGTTATATAGATTGATTTGAATTAATTAATAAATGCTTCAAATCAGGAAATTAGTTACATGAACAATTAATCTGTATTGTATAATATATAATGCATATTTATTATGCATAAATATATATATATAAGATATATATATAATATATTATTATATCATATTCATATATTTTTACTATTACAATAAGCTTATAACTTTTTTAAAATTATTAGAATAAAATCATTAAAGAAACTCTCTTGTAGCATTTTCAAATCATGTTAAATTTAACAATCATAAAGTAGTTTTTTTAAGAATTTTAATTTTATAAATCAAAAAAAAACAAAAATGATTTCTTTTATATATATAATAATCAACACAATTTCAGATTTTTTTGATTTTAATTTTTTACAATCAAAATTATTATAATCTATTCATTCTATATAAAAAATTAACAATTTATATATATATATTAAGTAATAATTTGTTCTTTTATTTTATAAATAAAGGATTCCTTTAAACTATAATGTAATAAATGAAGTAAATTAATAAGTTAGATGAGAATAAAGCATTAAACTAGAATTTGGGTTTTAGTTTAAAAAAAGATCAAAGTTTATTCGATAACAAAATTAAATTATAGGTAATTTTTACGATTAAATTAAAGGATTAATAACAATGTTTTGGTGAAGAAATATAAAATACTTACATAATATGACATGGATTATTTTTAAAGGATCCTATTTTATTTAAAAATTTGTTTGAATCAAATGAATGAAGTCGTAGAAGTTAAGATGATGATCAGGTTTAAGTATCTAAATTTAATAGATTATTAAAGAAAAAAAATAATAAGACCTACTCATTAAATTATTATAATCATAACCCAACCCACAAATGAAGTGTCAATAAATTTTATTTTTAGAAATTAATTATAATAAATCATACTCCATTAGGAATGATCAGCAAAAATGCATCTCATCCAATCAAAAGACATCTCTTTGTTTATAAAATAGCGCATCTTATAGCGAACGAGGCTACATTAATTTTCTTACTTACTTTTCCTTCTGAGACTTTGTTTAAAATATAATATAATATACTAATTACTTTAAAGGGTTAGTTTATCGAAATGAGGTAGATGTTCATTAGATATACCAGGTGATACTTAGAAATGAATGATTTATGTTTTTAATTTACTAACGAGTGTAAATTTTTTTGACTATACTCTATGTCGCGGAGTAATCAGTGGGAAGATATATAGATAACCTTTATAATAAAACTTTACTAAACGTAAACGTAGATCGTGAGTGATTAGAACATGATAATATTTAGACTGGATTTAAATCATGTTTGTTAATTTTATTGCTAATTGCTTAGCTAAAACTGGACGAAACTCTTGGTCAGTAGATAGACATTATATAAAAATTATCATTGGATCTGTTTTGCTATATTTTATTTATTTATTTAATTCTTTATGTTTAACTTTACTAACGCGTTTACCTTGACTGGACAACACGCTTAGCCGTGAAATGTTAAATTAAGTTTGGAAAATTGTAAAAGAAAGCTCATTATGGATCGGGTTTGCTCTTTTTATTTATTAATTTGTTTTTTTTATGTTATCTTTACTAACACTTTTACCATGGCTGGACAACACTCTCGGTCGTGAAATGTAACTGGAGTTTGGATAATTGAGAAAGTACATTACATAATTATTTATGGATCGGGTTTGCTCTTTTTATTTATTAATTTGCTTTTTTGTGTGTCAACTTACTAATGCGTTTACCTTGACTGGATAACACTCTTAGTTGTGAAATATTAAATGGAGTTTGGATAATTGAGAAAGCACATTACATAATAATTTATGGATCGGGTTTGCTCTTTTATATATTAATATGTTTTTTTTATGTTAATTTACTAACGCGTTTACCTTGACTGGACAACATTCTTTGTTGTAAAATGTTAAAATGGAATTTGGATAGTTGAGAAGAAAATTATTTTATGGATCGGGTTTGCTCTTTTAATATATTAATTTGCTTTTTTTTATGTGTCAACTTTACTAACGCGCTTAATTTAACTGGACAACACTCTTGGTCGTGAAATGTTAAATGGAGTGTGGATAATTGAGCAAACACATTACATAATTATTTGTGGATTGGGTTTACTCTTTTTATATATTAATTTTTTTTTTATGTTAACTTTACTAACGCGTTTAACTTTAACTGGACAACACTCTTGATCGTAAAATGTTAAAATGGAATTTGGATAATTGAGAAGAAAATTACTTTATAGATCGGGTTTGCTTTTTTATATATTAATTTTTTTTTTTTTTATGTTAACTTTACTAACGCGTTTAACTTTAACTGGACAACACACTTGGTTGTGAAATGTTAAATGGAATTTGGTTAATTGAAAAAATAATTCTTTTATGGATTCTTTTAATATATTAATTTGATATTTTTTTGTGTCATCTTTACTTTACTAACGCGTTTAATTTAACTGGACAACACTCTTGGTCGTAAAATGTTAAATGGAGTTTTATAATTGAGCAAACACATTACATAATTATTTATGGATTGGGTTTACTCTATTTATATATTAATTTTTTTTTTATGTTAACTTTACTAACGCGTTTAACTTTAACTGGACAACACTCTTGATCGTAAAATGTTAAAATGGAATTTGGATAATTGAGAAGAAAATTATTTTATGGATCGAGTTTGCTCTTTTTATATATTAATTTCTTTTTCGTGTGTCAACTTGCTAACGCGTTTATCTTGACTGGATAACACTCTTGGTTGTGAAATATAAAAATGGAATTTGGATAATTGAGAAGAATATTACTTTATGGATCGGGTTTGCTTTTTTATATATTAATTTGTTTTTTTTTATGTTAATTTTCTAACGCGTTTACCTTGACTGGACAACACTATTGGTTGTAAAATGTTAGAATGGAATTTGGATAATTGAGAAGAAAATTACTTTATAGATCGGGTTTGCTTTTTTATATATTAATTTGTTTTTTTTTATGTTAAATTTACTAACGCGCTTAACCTTAACTTGACAACACTCTTGGTCGTGAAATGTCAAATGGAATTTGGATAATTGTGAAGATAATTATTTTATGGATCGGGTTTCCTCTTTTTATATAGTAATTTGCTTTTTTTTGTGTTAAATTTACTAACGCGTTTAACTTTAACTGGACAACACTCTTGGTCGTAAAATGTTAAAATGGAATTTGGATAATTGAAAAAGTACATTACATATTATTTCAGGATCGGGTTTGCTCTTTTATATATTAATTTGTTATTTTATGTTAACTTTACTAACGCGTTTAACTTTATCTGGACAATACACTTGGGTTTGAAATTAATAGAAGATTTTGGATATCTCACTTGATAACGGAACGGATTAATAAATAGAAAATTTTTTACTTTATCTATACGTTCTTAAATAATTATCTAATGAGAGTTTTCTTTTTCATTTTAGGGCCCTGATCAATTGTGCTGCACCTCAACGTTGGTGATCAGGTGGCAACGAGTCTTTTAAAGACTTGGCTAAGACAGCAATGAAGTTTTATTTTTGCATCCGAACTGCCTGTTATGTTTTGGTGACCAACTAATTACTGAAGTACAAAGTCAAATTCTAAAGAAAGTATGCCTTTGATATGATTTATCATTCAATGATTTTTCTTAGTATGCATACATATTAATAATGTGAAATCCGACATGTTCACCAGATCTTGTAATTGTCTTTATATTAAAATAGGCAAGAAAGATCATATTATGTATTTAATTTTATTTTTCTTAATTGTTATTATTACTATTTTTATAATATTAACTCATATTTTTCATTTTACCAATAAAAGTTGGCGCCTATTGTTTCTCGAAATATAAGCGCCTAATTACCTCACTGCGGAATTACCGATCGAAATTCAATTAATTCTGCCAGATCATTTTGGAACAACTGATAAATATTTCATCTAAGCCATATTGTCATCTGATTTAAACGTCCATCGATTAATTGATATTTACGCTGGAAGGGAAAATTCCTGTTTATAATCACATCTTTTATAATCAATCCTATATTAAAACCATTTATGATTAAATTAATAAAAAAAATACCTCTATATTATCACAATATAGTAAAATCTTCTGGCTGAAGCAATCATTTGTAATTTTTATCATATCCAATTGATCGACATTTTTCGCCATCATCGTAAAATATTTGTTATGATATATCTACTATACGAAATCAGGTCGTGGTGGCTCATTTCACATGAATTTTCAAATATTTCGCTTGAAGTTAATAAAATCATTTTAAAGTTAGTGACGATTGATTTTAAAAATCTTTTATCAAAATACGGGGTAGCGATGAGATGAGATAGAAAATTATGTGAAATGTCATCTATTAGTTGATGGTTCAGCATCAGTAGGGTTTTATTCTCCATAAGAATAAAGATCATGTTCAAAGAATATCTTTTTTTAGTAAAGTAATCGGGATTTTCAGGTTGTGTCCAACAGATAAGGATTATCAATGCATTTTTGCAAAAAAGCGTTATTATGAAAGAAACAAGGGATATTTATGATTAAAGTATAGTATTTCAAAATAAAGATACCAAACAAGCAAGGTTATTTGCACAATGAAATCAATAAGCGAACTTTTGTTAATAAATAATTTATTAAAATCGAAACATATTTTAAAGTTGTTATCTTTAGTTTGTAAGCCTAACACATTAATACTTCATTGAAATCCTCGATCGTTTTAATAATTCTCAAAGTTATACAGTATTTGTTCATGGAATGACCCACTTTTTAAATCATTTGGTCATTTCAGATCATTTGTATTACTAGTTAATACTGTTCTAAAGTGCATATTTTCACTCTGCATCTTTCAACTTTTATTATAAACAATTTGATGATTGAAAAATATAAACGCTTAAAATTAAAGGTACTGAAATTATCGTTATAATCTAACTAATTAAAATATAAAACAATCAATTATGTATGTATTTCAAGTAACAATTTGTTCTTTTATCTTATAAATAAAAGATTTTGTAAACCGTATTATGATAAATAGAGTTGATCAATAAGTTAATCGCATTTCTAGTTATATTACTTTTATAATTAAATTTAAATATTTCATTTAAAATAAATACATTTAAACTAAAAAACAAAATAAATTTCCTTCTTTAGACAAGTCAGATATAAACCGACTTAACCTGATCTAAAATCACATGATATTCAACTTGGGGATTTTATTGAAATTACGACCTTTAAGATTTTCTCACTACTAGCAAATAATTAAATTAAATCCACTAAAAATTCTCCATTTTTTTATTTTTTTATATGTCATTATAAAATGTTTTTTATAAATTTATGAAATGAAATCAATAAACTCTTTATTCTATGAAGCAAGGAATACTTTAAATCGTAAAGAATTTGATGACTTTTAAGCTAATTAGTCTGATACTCCAATATAATCCTAATCCAATTGAAAATAGAATTAAAATAATGTATATAAAATTATCTATATTTTTTGTTTTGAGCTAAGAAACATTAATCATTACTTGGAACATTTAGATCCATCAATGCACATATGTTATAAGATGTCATGTATACATTCTCAAGTATATAAGTAGCGAGTGCGTTGGGCATGAATGGATCTTGATACCTCGTTTCACGCAGACACTGTAAATATAACTCCCTTGTTCTCGTTCCAGTGTACAACGAAAGTGGCACAACAGTAAAGTTCGATAGCAAATAGCTCAAGAGTAACCTAGCCACTCTCCCGTTTCCATTAATAAAAGGGTGGATATACAAGAAGTGTGTTAGAAAACACGCCCAAAATTTGATAGCTTCATCTAACCCCAGCTCCTTTTTCCCAAATTTTACTCGACATTGATGGAATAGCTCTTCTATTCTGTTCTCTATCAAATAATGTGCCAGATAAACATAATTTTCTTGCGCTGCCATAACGTATCGCGTTCTGTATCGACCCGCATTTTCAATCAACCCATTTCCAACGCGTTTATGCAAATGCTGTGCAAGCAAAGGCGTAAAGCAATCCATTGGACGATTGGGGTTTGGAAAGAAGATTGACGGAAAAATGTCGTTAATTGTATCTTGAAGATTTTGAACTTTTTTAGCTAGGTGCGAAGAACGAGAAGGGCCTAATATTATTTTCGGAATGTTGTTGCCAAACATTTTACTGCAAATGTAACTAGCCAAGCGTAAAATAGGACTAAAAATTATTCTTGGAAAAGTTATCCTGCAAATGTAATTCAAAAAAACTTTAAATCATGATTTCTTTAATATCTGTTTTATAACATCGGGTTCTACATTACATTCCGCTGAAACGCATTCGATTAAATAACGTTCTCGATGAACTTCCATGAAACCCTTTCAAAAAAGTTCATCTTCGTTATGAATAGATAATAATATGGCTTGTTGGAGGCGATTAGTATTTGTGATGAAGTACTGAGGAACGTGGTCATCATAATCTGGTCTCCACCAAGGTTTATTCAAAAAGTCAAAATTGGAATGTACTAAAGACATCTTGTATGGAGAAAAAACAAATTTCTTTTACAAGTTGATCAATAAACCTACATCACTATATGTGGCTTAGAACTGCTGATTATTTCTAGAAACTGATGTTATGACGATGATTTTGACTAGTAGTATATATAGTATTTCACCGAGGGAGGCTATATACTTTATAAGCAAATTTGAGTATCTCACTTACTGAAGATGCGCTCGATGATCCAACCGAGTTAAGAAAGAATTTGAAAAGAGGTAATATTGGTTGTTAAAAATAGTTGACCCGTTAGTAATGAACCAACATCAAGAGGAGTCGTATGCAAGGAAAATCAGGAAAAGAAATTTCGTAATATTTACTGGCAAGGTCCCGCACTTGTATTTATTTTTTATCTCTGTATTGATAAAGCGGGTCTTCAGATTTACCACATATAATAAGCATATTATCACTTTTATTTGTAAACAGAGCCATGTTATCCAAGCTTTAATTATGAAGAAACGCTTTGTCCGAGCTTGAGCTGCGCTTAAGGCCGAGAATGATGAGATCCCTGAACTTAGAAAAATTCGTCGATTTCGAGACCAAGGATTACGAACCAGCATGAAGGTGTTCAAAAAAGACGTGAATGGAAAACTTTTAACGACAATTCATTTATCGATAAAATACCACTTTTATTTGATGTTAATATATTTTCTTGAATTAAAGATTTTTATTTACAAATTAGCTAGTATGCTTGCGCTTGTGGTCGTCGAGACCTGACCTGTTAGACTGGTGATATGCCATTGGTAAACGGGCCTCAAAGGGGTCACGAGACCATTAGGTTTTGTTCAAGCAAGCAAGGGAATTGCTGAGACATGTTATTATATAATGATCGAATTCGAGTCTTATTAAGGTGTTTAATTTTCAAACTTTCAGAAAACTTATTTAATCTATCAACTCTTATCTACTAAAAAGTATTTAGTGGAAATATTTTGACTAATATTTGAGTATATCATTATGATATTAAGATCTTTCAAAAATTGTTTCTCCATTTTGAAAAAAAATTTAATATTTGGAAATCGTAAATTGAAAGTTATTTACTCTATGATTTTTATTTTAAATGGTGAAGGAATGGAATATCTTATAGTATTTAACGGAGTAAGACAAGCTGATAGTTGCAATATCATTATTATTCTACCTTAGAATATTGGAGTATATTAGCCTGTGTAGAATTTAAATTCACTGTATTTGATACATTTGAAAGAAAAGAGCCAACAAAGGTATGTTAAATTTTCAATTATATATTAATTTATTCTAAATTAATCAAGATATTTATTGTATATAAAACAATATTCACAGAGTGCAAATTTATCTTTACAAACATCGTACTCGCTTTTTGTACTTGATCGTACAAATAATTTGATGAATTGTTTGTTGACGCTTTTTATAGTTGGCAAAAATCATAATTTATATACAATTAGTCATCATATTATACCAATAGCAAGAGCAATATCACATTCACAACTTATCATCATTCCTTACCAACCGAATATCCATCATGAAAGTCAAATATTGAATATGGATTGGGTACTAGTGATTTTTATTATTATGATGTTAATTTTAACCATCTTGTTTCAATTTGAATTTGATGAAATTTGAAGACTATGTAAAATTATTTGACCATATCACTTTTTGTTAATTTGTATAGAGATAATGGATGTGAAGAGACAATCTTTAAGATTTGTTAATTTTGATTTATTTAAATTTTAACTAAGTAATATATTAAGTAATTTTGCAATTAAAAATCATAATACCAGATAGATAATGTTGTTTGTAGTAAGTTGTAAAAACTCTATAGGCAAATTTGGTCGATTTCTTTATTCTAATATTAAATAATCAGTCATACTCGTTTATAAACATCATAACTAAAAAGTTGCAATTGTTATTGTCAATGTCATATTATTTAATTTTAACTCAATTTAAAATGAAATATGAAAAATATTATGTTATAATGCTAACCTGATCATTTCAACCTGAAAAACCATATTTGACATATTAATAGTACAGTGGCTCCCAAATGTTATGCATCACTTGGAAAAAAAATTAAAAAAAGCGATATTTTTTAAATCACATGATATAACGGAGTAAAAATTTTTTTCCAAGTATAGGAAGACCATATTCATTGTGTGGTAATATTTTGATCATGTATTT